GCAAGGGGGGGGAAAAGTCAGCAAGGGGCCCACGTCGGGCCGGCATGGACCGCCGGCCACCGGGCAGCGGCGAGGGGCACGCGGACACCCAGCTCGCAGGGGAACATACCTCGTCCTCTACCCGGCCGATGAGATAGCTGTTCAGGTGGACCAGCCCGTCAGTGCCAGTGTGCAGGTACGAAGGGGCCGACTCGCCGCTCTCGGAGACCGGCATCGGGAAGCGCAGTGACGAGTAAAAGCGCTCCGCATCATTGGTCGCCAGGTACCGACAGCTGGAGGGAGGGGGACGGGCGAGGGAGTCAGCGTGTGCCGGGCATAGACATGGGCATGGGCATGGGCATGTGCATGGGGGGGGGCGGGGGCGGGGGGCGTCGGAGAGCAGGGAAGCAAGGCGTCGGGCGCACCTCTTCGGCAGGAAGTGAGACATCTCTTGCGGCGACGATGGACGGAGGGGAGGAGAGGAGCGAGGGAGCGGCGAAGGCTGGCAAGGAGGGGGGGAGGGGGGGGGGGGGGCAAAGGGGGACAGGGAGGGGGCAATGGAGATCGCCGCGCGGCCTCCCCGGCTCCGGGCTGGGCCCACTTGGCACCCGGGCCGGACCGACGCCGGGCCGCGTGATACCCCGCCGCATGGGCTCATCCGTGGGCAGCTGGTCGGGGGTGCACGCGCGCGCCCCGGCGAGCGGATGGCACGAACCCCCTTCTCTCGCCTCCGCCGCCCCTCCTCCCGCACCCCGGCCCCCTCAAGGGCGAGCGAGGTGTTCAGCCTCGATCCCCGGGCCGGGGGGGGCACCCATCTCTCCCCCCACCCCCTCGCCCTCGCCCCTTGTTCGTCCCTCCGCTCTTCCTTCGCTCTCCTGCGTTAGCCACCGGTGCGATGGTCCCCTCGCCGGATCCCGGGCCATCGATAGCCCCCCCGGCCGGGGCTGGGCCCGGCGTCGGGGCCGGTCCCTCGTCCAGCACCTCTTCACATGGCGGCCAGGCCCCGGCGTGGCCGTCGCCGTCGCCGTCGCCGTCGCCGTCGCCATCGCCATCGCCATCGCCATCGCCATCGCCGCCCCCGGTGCGCGTGCTGCGCACGCTCCGCGCGCCGCGGACACCGGAACGCAAGCGCCCGCATGCGGCGATGGCGGGCAGTCCGGCCGCGAAGCGTGCCCGGGTCGGGCCGCAGGCGGCGGACCCGGCGCACCTGGGCCTCCGGTGCCCGCACCCCGGGTGCGAGCGCGACTTCCCCAAGCCATCGCGTCTGAAGGAACACCTGCTGTCTCACGAGTCGGACCGGCCGTTCACCTGCCCGGAGCCCGACTGCGGCCGGTCCTTCATCCGGGCGACACACCTGCGCCGGCACTCGCTGGTGCACCAAGACGCGCGGCCCTTTGCCTGTACGCAGTGCGATGCGTCCTTCAAGTCGCAGGCGCACCTGCGCCGGCATGAGAACCTCCACTCGGACCCGCGGCCTTTTGTGTGCGATGTGCCGGTCCCGGTGGAGGGCGACGCCCCTGAGACCGAGTCGGACTCCGCCCCTTCGGAGGCCGACACCCCTGGCCCGATGCGCCCCTGCGGCGAGGCCTTCTCCAAGCAGCAGCACCTGCGCCGGCATCTGGCCGAAGCCCACGCCGGCCGACTGCCATACCCCTGTGCCGGGTGCGATCGGTCCTTCTCCACCCCCAGCAAGCTGGCCCGGCATGTCCAGAAGATCCACTCCGGTACGGCCATGTACCCCGCACGACGCGAGGGCCACGGGGGGCGGGGGCGGGGGGGATGCTTTTTCTTCTTTTCTTTTTCCCCCCCCCCCCCCCCCCCCCTCCCCCATCTCGCCCAATCATGCGCCTGGCTGCTGACATGGGAGGCGACGCCCGCATGTGTGCCGCCACGCAGACAGCCCGCAGTATGTGTGTGATTTCGATCCCGCCTGCGGGCTGGCCTTCCAAAACTGGTCGACCATGCGCGAGCATGTGAAGAACGTGCACACGCATGTGCCCGGCACATGCGAGGTGTGTGCGCGGGTCTTCCCCAACTACAAGGCCCTGCGAGCGCACTACCAAATCCACAACCCCACCCGGCCGCTGCTCCCCTGCACGGAGCCGGGCTGCGGGCGCTCCTTCACCACGGTGCGTGTCGGCGCGATCGCCCCCATGCGTGTGTCTCTGCTTGTGTGTGGGGGGGGGGGGGGGGAGGCGGGGGATGTGTCTCCGCCAGAAGTGGACGCACCTGGTACTCGTGTTGACGCTCGTCGCTCTGCCATCCTCTCGGGCCAAACGCACCCGTCTGCGGCATGTCGCCAATCAGCCGCGCAACCTGCGCCAGCACTTGAAGAACTACCACTCGAAGGAGAAGAACACTCGCCGGCAGGCCGCGGCCAAGCTTCGGCAGGAGGTGCGCACTGGCGTGGGCTTGCTTCCACCTGCCCCCTTTCGGCCCTGCTGCGGGCCATAGAATACGCGCCCCCAGTATCGGACATGATCCGCCCCCCCCCCCTTCACATACTCACACACACACACACACACACACACACACACACACACGCGCGCGCGCCTCCCCTGACGCCGGTTAGCGGGCAGCTCTGTCCGAGCTGCAGGAGCTGCGCGGCGACCAGCAAGATGTTCGGCTGCTCCTCTCGCTGGCCGGCCTGGCGCCAGTCGACGCACTGGAGGCCGAGCGCATGGCCATCACCCGGGAGTCCTCGCCCGGCTGGGACGGGGGGGGATCGCCGACAGCCGCCTCCGACGAGGCGGCATCCTCCCCGCTGGCAGGGGCCCCGGCGAAGCGCGCGATCTGACGAGCCGTTCGTTGGCATGTGTATAAATCTGTGTTCTCTGTTCGTCCCGGCCTTTTCCTTCACTTTTTGGGGCCGCGGCGCCTTGGTGGAGATCCCGGCACGCCGCGTCCCCCCCCCCTGAAGAAGATGGGGGCAGGGGGGGGGGGGGCCATCGGTCGGCGAGTCCAAGGCCGATCGGGCTGGCGGCCCGGGCCTCCAGAGAAGGCGCGGAAATGTGTCTTCTTTTGTCGTGCACGTTGTCAGTCCCCCGCCCCCTCCCCCCCCCCCCCCGGGACGGGGGGGAGAACAGGCGGGGGAGAGAGATGACTGGGCTGGGCATGTTCCGATCGTTTGATGTCGGGCTTTTCGGGCGGCGTCTTGACTGGGCCGGCGGCGGGGCCGTTCCCCGTACACCATCCCCCCCCCCCCTCCCTCTTTTCCCCCTTTGCCCCCTCCAATGACTATCACCGAGTACGCACCCGCCCTGCCCATCGCCTCTCTCTCTCTCCTTCCCTCTTTCTCACAC